CTGATGCTTCAATAAGCTAGATTTGCTATATGTCATTGATAAAACTGCTATAAATGGTATATCCTCTACCCTAGGGTATCGCTTGCAAAATACAGGTTAAAAAATCATTTTTACTCTTAGGAATGCTTTTCCTAAGGAAAAGAGGTATAGAGGGTGCTATTAATAGGACGATGTTATCCACTGATAACGAGGAAGTCGAATGTGTCAAAAAGAAAACCTTCAAGTTTTTGGAAGTCAGATCCTTGCAAAAAGACTCGAGGATTACTGCATAGGTACAACGTGAATGAGCTGCTTGCTATGAATATAGAATTTCAAGTAATGAACAACAGTTTTTGGGTGAAAAACACAAAGAACGAGGTGAAAAGGCATGCAAATGTTTGAAAAATATATCTAGAAGCGCAAATACCCATCATTTGAAGTTCCAATCCTACTTTAACAGCTTTCATTGTCAAAATGCAAAAGATAAATAATCGAAGAGGCGATAAATGAGGTGATTACCGCTAAGAGTGACAGAAAACGCTGGTTCCAAATCTTCAAAAAGTACTGGACGTTCCCTTATTTGAATTGCTTGCAGTACTAGATTAAGATACCGATCCGATATGAAGATGCTGATGCTGATGATTCAGATATGAAATCATCTTTCAGCGTTTGAAGGTGTATCTAATGGTTGGTTACTTTTCTAAATCGCCATTTTAACAAGTAGGCTCTCCCTACAACCAATTTTTTGCAGCTGATGTTAACGTGCTATATATTGGGTAGTCGAAAAAGTCTTTTCGTAACTGTCCATAATGTCGTTGGAGTCGTATATCTCCAGTGCTACCAACACATTGTGCCATACCATATAGTGTTGGAAAGGTGACATTTCAAGCTTCATTTAACCTTAAAGAAAATTAAATTCGGTGAAGGTGAACAAAAGTTTACAGCTTTTCAAAAATGAGTGAAAATAATGAAGAAATTCGCTATATTTTGAAATTTTTGTATAAAAAAGAGAAGAATGCCAAGCCGCCAATGAAATTTGTGAAGTTTACGGAGACGATGCTATT